TCATACGGGTTTGCAGTGATTGAAGCAGGGCCATCGATATTTCTGTAGTACTTCCTGTCTTAGGACTGAGTCATAATGTTTTGTGCATAACTTTGCCCATTTTGGTGCACGCCTCACCCACGTATAGCAGTGGCATCCTTCCGTTGTCAGACTCTCATTCATTTTTTTCTCGGTCTGTAAGACTTCTTGGGACCGAGGTAAAGTTCGACGCAAACTTCGCTCACATTGGTGCGCCTGTAGCAGTTAATCTCTCTAAAATTTCTACACACTTTTTCGTGGCCTCTATGAGTTCTTCGAACCGAATTATAAATATGGTGGCAAACTTCGCCCACACTGGCGCGCGGCACGCCACCATCAAACTCACTATTCCTTACTTCTACCTCTGTCCAGTTTTTCCATTTCGACGGCTTCCCTGATTATGTAGTGTATTAAACACCGCCCACTGTGGGCGGGCTTTCCACCGAATTCAGATATGCTGAGGACGCTTTAGATGCTGCTCTCTTGAACCGATTTTTTCTGCTCTATAAGCTTTTCTCAATCGAGTTGTGATTTTATTGAGCAACCTCGTTCAGAGAGCGCTCCTCCCATCGCAGACGGTCTTCCTATTTGCAACTCATTGCACACCTTTACCCCATTGTTTTCCCGGTCTTCGGGCTGTTCTATAACCGAATCTCGAAGCTCGCCGTCGGCACCGCTCAATTCGTGCCGCCCACTGTGGGCGGAGCTCCGCCCGGGTCATAAGTGTTTGTACTTCTTGAAGCATGTCCCACCCATCCCAATCTTGACCCGGATTCTGTAGGCGGTTCATCAGTGTGCACAATTTCGTGGCAGACGGATGGACAGACAGACAGAAACACGGACAACACATTGTATATGGCAGGGATTGTTGACTCTGCTAAAGAAGAGAAGCAAATTTGAAAAAAAAAATGGAAAATGGGCAGAAACTCCGGCGACCTAATAAATTCTTAACGTTCCCATTCTGAATCATCATTATTTTCACCAGCGACCTTAGACATTGAGTTGTGGGTTTATGGCAAGATCTTAGTTGGTATGATTCAATGGTGATTGAATGATTCAATTCAATTCATGTTCTTCAATGGTCTTCATTAAGGAAAGTTCTATCAAAAAGTGGAGCTTTCAAGGATTGGCATTGAGGGCAGGAGAAGTTGAAACTGCTGCGAAACACCTTTTGGGAACTTACCTGTTTATCTCTTCATTATTGTTTGATTCCTCGGATTAACACTCCTTCAGATGACGATAGGGCAGTTTGCTCCGAGATTTAGTGGATATGCGCAGCAGGACTCACAAGAACTTTTGGCGTATGTCTTAGACGGTTTGCATGAAGACTTGAATAGGATAAAAGTGAAACCATATGTTCCGGATGACGAAACCTTGGAGAGACTTGAGGAGCACGAGGTTTGCAAATTTATCTTCTTCTTTGTGTGTCGCAATAGACATTATTAAAAGTAGTGCGATATTGCCTTAATGAGTGTCACATCGTGGTTGTTCAGCAAGCCGAAAAGTCTTGGCAAGCGTACAAGGCTCGCAATGACAGTATTATCGTTGACCTTGTTCACGGCCAACTGAAGTCGACTTTGGTTTGTCCTGTTTGTGCCAAGGTAACTTGTTTCTTTGGACAAGGTACCCCGTATGGTCTGTACTTAATGATAATGATTGTACTTGAAGGTCAGCATCAAGTTCGACCCGTTTTGCTTCTTGTCGGTTCCTCTGCCACCGAAGGAGAAGGTCAGACAAGTCGTAACTTTGATTTTCAACACGAAACGCAGATGGGCTAAGGTAAGTTAAATACCTAGAATTATGTGCATGTCGTTGGAGTAATCTGTTTTTGAAATTTGAATGCTTGAAGGTTGCTTATCAAAACAATGTTTGTATTTCTGTAGGAGATTATTATGTCTTGCCGTTGTTTTGGTGGTACAACTTAGGAAATTTTCTCATAGTCGAACTGGCTTGTTTGAAATTGTAATAATACTGCAAAATAATTGCGTAGGACGTCATTTTAGACATTTGTTTCAATGTAAATGTTGAGAAAAATGTCATAGAAAAATATTATACTTAGTTAGTGATGAGATTGAAAATGTAATAAAACCAGAGGGAGCCTTACTGGTAGGAGATGAAGCAATCGTCAGCCAGGGAAAAGTATTTCTTTTATTAACGGTCGAGGGCTCTATTTTTGAAAGAGGGGGAGGCTCACGGCCTTTGGGGTGCATAAGCAATTTTAATGTTCGCCGGAGCTCCTCTCCTTCCTCCTATGCTCAGTCCTAGGGGCCCTA